ACACATGTTTAAAATACCTTCTTATGAAATATACCGATTCAAATTTTGCTGAAATTCACTCTATAAGAGTAAAAAATATAATTATATTAAAGAATTCCTAAATCGTCACCTGACAGTCTAAAACTCTCAATTGACCCAGATCAGTGATATAATTTTACCGAACGCGCGTCATCAAGAAGGCGAAATGTAAACATTGCGGCGAAAGAAAAATATGCATGCAAAAGCCATGACAGGCACGATGTATCAAAACCGTTAAATATAACAACATATAGGTAGGAATACTACACTTGCATCATACATGACCTTTGAAAACAATTATTTACGTATAGTATTAGTTGAGTCCGACAAGGCACATGACGGCGTTCTATTGTTGTTATCTTCACTGCCTCACTTTCGAAACAACCACGTGACATATATAAATAGATCTGCGCTAAATTTACGCGGGGCTTCCCCGAGATTTCAGTGGTCAAACTGGACATTGCAAGCAGAACTCGACCATCATATTACCGTGGTATAACTTTTGGAAGGCCAGAGAACGCATTTAAACCCACTTATTTTGTAATTTTACATCCTCTTTATCACCTCGGGCACCCCGACTTCCTGTTTGTCGGTATCAACCAACTTACTCTTAACTGTATCCTCAGTATCCGACATACTGGGTATGTAAATGATAAAGTTGGCAATTTATGTCTATTTACAATCAAACAATATCGTTGACACAAATCTCTCCATCCAAGAGCGAGCCAATATATCTATTGGATGCACACCATCCCTGAGCAAACCAAAATTGATAGTTTGGTTTTTAGCCACTCTTTTGTAAACAAGTAGGTCTGACTTGAAATTTAAGGAGTAACCACACCCTACTGGGTTAACCCTGGTGTTGATGTCCCTAATTTGGCTGTTCAGGATCTCAATCCGTCTAAATAGAATGGTATCTTGCTCATCAAGCGCAATTTCCTGCGAAAATGAGCATCCCCTGCCTAAATTCCAATATGTAATTGAATATGGCGGGATTTCGAGGAATACAAGTTTAACTTGACTAACGACTACAATGCTCAACTAATTGGTTTAGCTTTGTACATTGTAGCTGGAGTAACTGCTGGAGTAAATCCTGATGGGGTCTTGGTGAAAATAAAATTGGTTTTCTGGTTAACTTATCGCCTTCTGGGATTATTATAGGTTTCTCAACAAATTTAGAAAGTTTATTTCTACTCATACCAAGTTATCCTCGATAGATGCTAAATATTTCAATTGTACAAATGTATAACAAATGTCAGAGAGCTTGTCCTACATGTATAATATATTGGGGGAAAACACACAACCATGGAGTACAGACCAACACCACTGTAACGCTTCTACAACGAAGATATACATAGCATTCAATACATAATTTAGTAATACATGTTATGAAAATTCAGTTATCGTTCATCATAACGCTTATCATACAATATCGGGCATACACATTCAAATATAACTGAATTAAACTTAAGTTGATGATACAAAATAGTTCCTGGTACCTAGAATTAGGTTTGAACTAGGTTCCTATACTAACATACTTACATTTGTACACAAAAGTTACTTGTAAACAGTACGATAAATAATACGATACGAGAAAAGTTAGCATCTAACACAATTAACAGTCTGTTTATTCGGCTGGCGACAGTTCACATTCCATCCTTTCCTCGCAGGCTAACTTCGGAATTTCAGAACATTACGGTCCTGGTTTATCTAGGAAGAATATTTTCCTAGCTGCAGACGAAATACCTCTACCGGAAATGCCGTTTCCAAGGTTCTATCGATGTATTCGCTCACTCGCTGTAATATGCCATCCTAAATTTTGGATGCGTCACACGTTGCGCTACCGGCTCACGGCTATTACAGACTCTCCCTTCAGCTCTTCTACGCGGGCGCCATTGTAAGGCATTGGGTTGTTTCAGTAACAACACAATTCCTTCATTGTTCTTGATAAGTTTATTTCATATCTCTCGGAAGAGAGAGCCTGTAAAATAAATATAAATACAATAGTAACAACTATCGCTAGTCTCTAATAATGGACAAAGATGGTAAACATTTGTTCATTATGAATTCAGTAAGGTATTATATATATTAATTATAGAATATGTAGTTAGTCCGTCTTACCAGGGCCTCGGCCGGGTGGTATTCCTTGGCAGATTATCGCTGCAGCTACCATGTAGCATGATCTGCTGTTCAGCTCGGAGTGACTGGACAAGGGTTTGTGCGGTGTGAGGAAAAGTGGTTTTGCATGCGTCGTTCATATAGACCGAGCTGCATGCACAACCCCAGGTATACGTTCTTTCACTCAGATGTGACATAAACATGCTCACATACATGTGGCTAAGCCTATTATTGGGTGACCCTAGATATAACTATACACCCATTCTACATAATATTATAATGTGTATAATAATTTCCGGACTTTTTCTGCACGTGTCTTACAAACCGATTGAACTATGGATAATCAATCGGTTTGGACTTCCGATTAGTCGATTGTAATTTTCTGTCCGATTCCCAACACTAATTTTCATTCCCATACAATGGCCCAATAGTGTCTAGTACATACCAGCATGGAAAGACAATGCTCATAAACTTGACATAGTTAAGTTTCTTTTGCCCACAGTATGATAATCTTTGAAGGGGGTGATCAGCACTTTTTTGGACATAGATGTATGTACCATCAAGGATTACATTTATTTTGTCCTAAACACCTAGTAAACACAGTGGTGTGGCCTTTGGCATGACTTATGTGTCTTGGACCCAGGAACCCAGACACAACGGTCAGACTCAACGCTTGTAAAACGCTATGGAATGTGTGAGTCATATATTGGTTTTTTTTAAGATTACACAAAACACCAAATTGAGACCATGACATGTTGGTCTTAAACTTAATACAAAAGAGAAACAAAGCATGGAATGTAGATGAACATGACCCTCTACTGATGTGGGAGGAGCAAATGCTGTGGATTTTCTTCAGTTGCTCAAGAGTATACCCCGTCCATACTTTACATTCCTCTTCACTGAGATGGTCGATATGAATGCCTGCACTGGTTGGGCTACCTATCAATAGAAAAATGACTCGGTTCCAGGAAGACATTGATCACCTGACCAGCTCTATCTTGGAGACGGAGCTCTCTAACGGTTTCCTTGTTTGCAGGTCGATTGCCAATGAATTCGCCAATTATATGTTCATTGCAATCGCATGCATCAGGTGGACACCACAGACAATGGACAAATATTAGGTTTGTTCTGGCACGCCGTGGCATGTTGCATAACCCAGGGCCCTCTTTTCCACACCTGACACACCTTTTATGTGAATTCCAACCAGCTTTAGCTAGTTTTAGCTGGTTGGTTGACATGAAGTTTGTGTAAGCGTCGTCCACATCATTTTATATGTCTTCTGGAGTACTTACACTTCTAAGTTCACCAAACATAGATGCCAATAGTATTTGATTGAGGTAGCGCTTGTAACATTTACCACATATTATGCTTTCTTTTGATATACTGATATTCTCAGCAATCAGTATTTGCTGCAGACAGTTATACCGAAATACATATGCATGTCGTATTTGAGCTCGAGACCCTTCAGGTAAATCTTTCAATCTGGTTTTGCAACCATGACCTATGCACACATCTACATTCCATCATTGCTATGGAGTAGGTGAATTTGAGAGATCACTTTAGTAGTTTACAGAGTAAATGACTTTGATGAATGTGAGCTTTCTGAAAATGGTTAAACTACAATTAATATAGCTATACATGCATGTAGCCAGAAAATAGACAAGGTTATCTTTTCTTGCTTTCTTACTTTACTTGTTAAGAGTTAAAGATATGAGATTATGTAATATTCCTCGATGTTTTGTTTAATAAAATGGAAAGCCAAACTAATAATCTCCTGTGTATTAGTTTTATAATTTATTGTATGTATACATCATCAACCTTATCGAGAAGAATGATTAGATAACAGAAAACATATTTATGAGTTATTACTGCTGCACATACCTTTCAAACATTCATACTATAATGAATTGGTTTGGTATGATACAACAATAGAAAATGTATTGGTATTTACCATAAAAAACATAAGAAGTATAAAATTTAGACTAGCATTGTGACTATACAGAATCAAGTTGACAAAGTTGGATATATTTTATATTTAAAAAAAAGGTTGCATGCTTTTCTAATTAAAAATATCACTACGCTTAAATTCATGTATACCAATTGCTCGTGACATTTATCGGTCATTTTGTTAGGACCCGTCACTCATTCTGGTGTTATGCAAAGAGGTCCACTACGGTTATCAGTGGAGATAATGAATACTTATATATGCAAATATTGTTCATTTTTATACGACCGTCAAATTTGACGGTAGTATTATGGTATCGCGTTGTCCGTCCGTCCGTCCTGCGTAAACTTTATTTGTCCGGCAATCTCCTCCTACATAAACATAACGACCGATCTCTTTGAAACTTGGTATACATTATAATAATGATAGGAAGTTGTTTCTCCCTTAAAAGAGTTTTGATTCAACAATTTTTGCAAATTGTTCATTTCAGTATTTGAATTTTTTAAGATTTTCTCCTACATTTTTTATAGCATATCAGCTAACCACTCTTAGCATGATGCAGATCTTATTTCAATGTAAAAATATATAACACTATATTGTATTCGACGGGCGTATTTTGTTCCGCCCCGCGGTACTCTTGTAATGTATCTACATATGGCGAAAAAATAAAAAAAAATAAAGTAGGGGCCAAATGTTGACCCCACCTTTCCAGGTGTTGTGGTCGATGAATCCATATTTCTTTGTACCGATTGTCTTTGCTGTATCAAAAACCCCACATGTGAATAAAGTGTTCTCCAAGATTAACCATTTTAACAGATTAAAAAACCCAGTGAATCTCAAAAACAAACTATCCTACGTATTGTGTTATAAATTTATTTTAGTGTAATTTGGTAAATATATTATATGATTATCTTTTCAGTTTTCCACTACCTGATGTGGAACCGACTGACATTGGAATCATTGGCTGATGACTCGGTGTCTTAAACATCACCTTACACATAGAGAACGGCTACAATACGTATTTACAATAAAGGTACAAATATCAGGTAGTATCTTTACGTGTTTGTAATTTGTACTTCTCGCAAATGTGTTTTTTCCCTAAACGATGATATAAACCTATGGAGTTTATAGTTTTATGTTCTCAAAAAGCGTTGGTTAAATGCAGTAAACTGAAAGGACACACAAAAAAAGAAGAATTTAAAAACAATTATTTAAATTTAACCTGACTAGTAGGCATGACCACAAAAAGGAAGTTATCCTATCGCGACTGCGCAAAGACCATACCTACACTCTACAATATACATGCTTACATTTTATGAAACGAAAATGTGATTGTATGCGCCGATTTTCAACCAATGAGTGGAAAATTATTTCATGTAAAAACAATGAAAATTTATTTTCTACATTTTTCGTCCCTTAAATAAATTGATTATATACATTTGATCAATATTTACAAAACTGTATAATGTCATGTTTTAAAACCAATTCCTTTGCTGTTGAAGTCATTTGCATATTTACGCATGTAAACAAACTAAAACCAAACATTACACACATGGATGTACAGTCTTCAATAACCAAATCTGTCAATAGGGCGCTTAACAAATAAAACTAAGCTGAACTAAGACAAATGTTATCCTCTTTGTAAACATTTAATTTGAATATTGTAGGGCACTAATCAGCTTCAATTCATCTATAATAGACACGTCTCAAATCATAACTCGCTGAATCGGATCGTAAATTTCTCTCAACATCCATGTAGATTTCCTTTCCTTACAGTGAAGTTTAGAACTCACTTGGGATAAGTTGATTCGCGTTACTACAATTTATCTCATCCGCGATCGAGAAACGGACAGTTTTATTACATGTGAATAACCATGTTTGCAATTATGACAAGCATATGTTTGACTGGCAATTTTGAGACTCATTAACTACTGCATGCAAGAATATGAACCGAAGCGTGAACATATTGTCAATAGTTTAACAAGTATCAAAATAACATGGGATAGTGTGCTTTTTTATTGGGTTAAACGTACTTTTAACATACAAATATAACACGCATAAGGGCTCATCTTCAAATGACTGTAGTTGTTTTATTGTAATATGATAATGGCTTTTCTATAAGGAATTATATGTATTTTTAATATTTATTCCGTTGATGTGTATTTCTGTCGTCGGCCTATCTATTTATCAGTGGGGTATACGTACTAGGGATACATAACATGCCATTATTGTATACCCCAAGTAGGGAATACGAATTACTTATTTACTCTTTTGAACCTTCGTTTTTTTTTGCTGTATTTGTAGCTGTTGCTAGGACGTAAAATCCAATACAAACGAACATATCAATATGTTACAGCTCATCCATAACCTAGATTGTGATTAATCTAAATAGCACTATTGTCATTCATCGTCCTTCTGCTACGTTAATCATGTATTTTTAATGTAATTTGCTTTAGTTCGCCAAGCCCTAGGAGATAGAATTTAAATAAATTACCCGTGAAACAAAATTTCGACGGAATCATACTTATCAATTCCTACGTGTCTTCTACAAAGTCATGACAGAGAAGAAAATGTATCTTCTGCCCCTACTGGGATACTTGGGACTTTTTTGTTTCCTGTCCTTTAGTCTATTTTCTTTTTCAGGTGGTGTCTCCCTTGGCACCCGTCCACGCATGAGCCTGGCTGTTGTGAGGACGTAAAACCCAAAATTAACATATCAATATGTTACAACTCATCCATAACCTAGATCTTGATTGTAATCAATATAAATAGCACTATTGAGACGTTTAGGTTAGTTAGTATAATTTGTCCGTCATTCCGCTTTGTTTATTATGGATTTGTAATAAAGTTTGCTTCAGTTCGCTAAACGAGCCCTAAGAGATCAATATATAAATAAATTACACATGAAACACATTTTGACAGAATCATACGTGTCGCCTACCCCAACGGGTTTTGTTTTTTACGAGATTCTGGTCGAAGCCGCGCTGGAGTGATTATTGACACTAGGCAAGCTTAGAAAATGCCACTTTTTTTTTGAGAGTCTCAGCCAATGAGAGAACGAGATCGGTCATTTGCATGGATGGTCTATTTCCCCTAGAACACGGTCGACAAAATAGGACATTGCCTAGATCTAAGACTGCTGAAGACGGCGAGCTCATCTGTGGATTGTCTGAATACTAAACAGGGCGGAGGCAAAAACGAGACAGTTTAAAAAAACACAAAAAGACTAAATTGCAATTACGAAATTTTAATAGCTCAAGGATAACGGCAATTACAAACCTTTTACACGAGCGAAAATTAAATCCCAACACATATAATACCATTAGTCAAGTTACTGCACCGTAACACTTCAATTTTGTTTTTTTTACCATTTTTAGCTCACCGTTGCGTCCGTCGTCCGTCCGTCCGTCAACAATTTATTTAAACGACTTCTTCTTCTTAACCACTGAATGGAATTCAACTAAATTTGACTGGAAGCATCCCTAGTTGGTGGGGATTCAAAATTGTACAAATGGTGGGGCTGACCCCCCCAGCGAGCTGAGGGCGGGGCCAAAAGGGGGAAATTTGGCTATATTGATATAAACGACTTCTTTTGTAGAACTATGCCATGGATATTAATCATATTTGGTCGGAAGCATTCATGGGAGGCAGGGATTCAAAATTGTACAAATGGCGGGGCTGACCCCACGGGCTAACGGGTAGGGCCAAAAAAAAGTGTATTACTTGGAAATTGTTGTGATCCCAACCATATAACCATGATATACAATTGCTGAGTATAAAGAGAAGAATGCACATTTGCTTCCATGATGGCCCTAGGGTCTGGCCCCACCCTTGGATACATAGTCCCTGGGGCATAACTTTAAAACTGTTGAGATCCCCACTCCAAAACTATATATACAAATGCTGGGCATAAAGAGACGAATGCAGTCATGATATCCAAATAGACCCTGGGGTCTGACCGAACCCCTAGGGACCTAGTTTCTTTGTCAAAGCTTGGAAACAGTTGAGAGGCCCACCCTTTAACCCTATATACAATTGCTGAGTATAAAGAGATGTGACCCTGCAGGTAGGGCGTAAGAATTGTACCTGCTGCCACCAATTGCATAATCGTAAGAGGCGACTAAATTTGGGACCTTATCTCTTCTCTCCTTTCTAAATAACTTTCTTCTTCCTAATGTCTCCCTTGACAATGCCTCACTTTTGGCCATTTTTTGAGCGTTCGCCCCTGTGAGGAAGGCTTTGGGTTCTGTCCCCTGGCCGAGACATACTAAAGTCTTTAAAAATGGTAGTTTCTACTCCTGCTTAACGCTCAGCAAATTAGGAGTGGGACGACTGGTTCGCCCGTTGTCAGTATAATGTGACCGGGTGGGGCGTCCTGCTGGGTGTCTTTGGCAGTATGTTTCAGTGAGGTAGCATTATAAAGTCGGCATCACTTCCGCGCGATCACAAGGAGACAAACACGAACATATCGCAGCCTCCCCAAATACACACACATACACTACACGCATGCATCTTGCACACAGGGGAGGTCGTCCTTAAATGACCTTAGCTGTTAATAGGACGTTAAACAAAATCAAACAAACAAACAAAAAATAAAGAGATGATTGCACATATGCTTCCAGGATGGCCTTGGGGACTGCCCCACCCTTGGAGACTCAACCCCTTGGTCATAACTTCGAAATGGTTAAGATCCCCACCCCAAAGCTATATATACAATTTTTGGGCATAAAGAGACGAATGCAGTCACTATATTAGAATTGATCCTTTGGTCTGGCCACAACCCTAGGGACCTAGTTTCTGAGTCAAAGCTTGGAAACAGTTGAGATCCCCACCCCATAATCATACATGAAATTGCTTGGCATGAAAAATCTAATACAGATATACTACAAGGATTGCCCTTGGGGTCTGGCATATTTATTCCCTTGATCTCATTTGGACATTTTTTGCCATGATTGCTTAGGCCTCTTGTTTATAATTTCCAGGCAGATTACACTTATCGGAACCATCACTGTCAGCACATTGGTATCATTAGTTTGTCCACCACAGTTCTCCTTGTTGTCGCTTGAGTCCTCGTGCTTCACCTTCACTTTCGGCTGCAAAACGTCACTTATTGTTTTCAACATGTCGCCGGTCTCGCGCTGATAAACCTGTACAGCATTACTTCGGTGACCACTTCGGTCCATGACGGCCTTGTCAAAGAGTTGTACATATGCAAGACCACACACTTGTGTTTTTCTAACGTATCAGAAAGCACGAGTTTATTGCGCGGACGAATATATACGTCTGCGCAATAAATGAGTGCTTTCTGATACGTTAGAAAAACACAAGTGTGTGGTCTTGCTTTTATCACATTCCTTCCGTAATTGGTAGAGATCGATACAAAGCTTTTATAAACTTTGATATTTTTTGCAAATACCGGGAACGTTTCAGTTCCCATAATAAGTAGTTCCGGCTAGTAGGTTAATACATGTACAACATTCCGTATTGCACATGTGCAATACAGAACGTTGTATTTCATGGTCTGAAAATTGCGTGTATCACTATAACAATATTCAACAGTTATGTGATAAAATGCCGTTATGAAAACACAACTGGACGTTTAGTATTTGTTATTTGCATTCGTTTTAATCTAAAGCTCCCATTCACCTGGTTTTCACACCTTGGCGGGTTACGTAAGTGCGCCGGGCGGGGGAAAACTACGCTCCAGGTACAAAGTGGCTATGTTTACCTGTGTTGCCGAGGCTGTTTTGTAAGGTCGTTTAAAAAACACCGAAAACGCCATTTCTAAAGTATAGACAGAAAGATAAGCTTGTAGATGAAGCTAGAATAGGGAAGGAAACATACTAAAGCTAGAAATATGTCAACATGACATGAAAGCCACCCATCTCCTGTATGATTATTTCAGTATAATAAATCATTGACCAAGCTACAACTGACATATTTCCACCTGTCAATCAAAATGGTCTTACAATGACCAGGTATGCATACACGCTGTTTAGGTAACCATGCCAACCTACTAGGATATAATAAGAAAGCATGTGGTTGATT